CGTTACAACCCCCCAGACCATCACTGACCCACCACCAAGCCAGTAATGCTGGCAGCATAATATTCTCCACGGCTTCTCCAGACCCTTTCACAGTTTTCACAGACAACTATGAGGAGACAAGATGCAAAAATCTGAAGACGTCACTTTATTTGAAAAAAAATTACAAATTACTCAAAAGCTTTTTAAAAAATGTTAAATGCAAAACTTATTAGAGTACCATGCAGCTCATTGTGCAGATCGTTAGTAAAGTATTATTGTAAAATATTTTTAAAGTAGCATTACTGAAATCTATTCAATTGTACTTTGCTTTACTTGACAGGTGGTGTTTGAGTATATAGGCACAGACATTCCTAATTCCTAATTTCAGTTAGTTGTCTTTTCTTGTTGTTGTTGTTGTTTTTTAATTTTTGCATATGCAAACAACACAAATCCCTCCTTCTAGCTCTGTGATCAGGATGCATTTAAAGGCTGAAATGTCAGTGAAGTGTCCCACAGATGAAAAAAGTTGCCTGACTGTAACTTACTTTGACTTTGACCTCACTATATCTACGCACTGTAACATGGAAGGATTGATACTTGTGCTCATGATCATGGCAAGCTCTTTTCATGGCACAAACTTTTACACCATGTTAGAATTAAGACAGTGGATGGTTCAAAATCAGGTCCGGAATTTTCACTGGAATACAGGCTTTGTGGTGGTTCTGTGTAATAATGACTTTTTTGAGTAATGATTCCAACACAGATCACAAAAAGAGGGGAAATAACGTAACAAACATGCACAAACACTAGACCCACAGTATTCAATTGATTTGCATTAATATAATTTTATTATCGCTGCTTAGCAGTGGTGGAGACTCTCAAAACAGAGCTGATGAGAACCTAGTGACAATTGATAGGAGAATTGATAAGGAATCGAACTGATAAGTGATATCGCAGTTCCCGGTTTACACAGGAAATCGCAACTTTGCTCTCAATAAACTATTTGATTGGGTAAGGGGGGTCACGTTGAATGAGTTATACTGCATGCTACTGGTCTGTGTGTTTCCTATAGATGTACAGTGACTACTGTAAAGGCAATACAAAAGCTGCGATTAAAATAACGCTACCGTAAATACTGGAAACTTTGCTCACACCCCGTCAAAATCGGACCGCTGTCCTCCTACTGATGACCTAAGTTACGAAAGTTAAAAACTTAGCTTCTTAACCCTTAATCCTCCGTTCTTTTAAATAGCCACCAGAGGGCGATACCTCCGTATAAAAAGACTTGGGAAAGCTTTTTCCACACCTTTGAAAGCACTTCGTTTCCACTGTGTATTAACTTTTCACAGGTTGACACCAGGCTTTTTCTTTCTTTTTTTATGATTGAGATGTTGAGTTGTTTGTTTCCTGTCATTTGTCACAGAGTTTCTCTAAATTCACACCCAGTTTCACACCTTGGCTCAGGCGATTAGAGGATCATCAGGGGGTCCTTTTGTCCCTCTGTGGGGGGATATCCCACTAGGTTTATATCTGGGACTCTCCACCATTTGACCTTAGAACTGAAGAAGCTTCTCGGATGAGAGGTGAAACGTCTTCAAGTAACTTAAAGAAGTCAAGACGCTTTTCTTTGCAAGCTCCTTTGACTACGATGACCTGGATGACTGAGAACCTTCACAGACATCTAAATTCAAATATTTTACTAATTTGTTTCTTCTTTCTGTCATTCACTTACTTTTACAAAACTGTAATTTTTAAGGGTCACTGTTGTAAATTTTAAATTATATTAAATATTCAATATTTGTATATGGTTCATCTACCAGTATGTGTATGTGTAGCATGAAGTTCACTGAGCACAGTTTCTGTCCTGATGTTAATGCCAGAGGAGGATTAGTACTCTGCAGTCTTTGAGTCAGCAAATAGTTGGTGACTTGTGCTGCACAATGTGCCTCAGCACTCTGCATCTCTATAACTTTATGTGGTCTGTCACTTTGTGGCTGTGCTGCTGTGGTTCCCAAATTCTTCTACTTTGCAAGAAAAAAATCCCTTACTGTTGTTTGTGGGCTATCTGAGAAGACCAAAAATTGACTAGGTTATTGATGTTATACACCTGTGCCATTAGAAAGAGAGTTGAATTCAAAAATTAAAAAGTCTGGCCCAAAACATTTGACCAAATATTGCAGGTATTCATCACTACACTGATTTACAGGTATTCTCTAAAAACTAACCCATATAAGGAGTGACATAATTAGGGGAAATTTCTACTGCTATGACTGAAGACTTAAAACAGATGATTTTTGAAAGACTCAGACATACCGAACCATGGCGGATACACTGCAGTTTCACAAGTCAGTCAGAGGAAACTATGATAGAAATCTGTACTTCCTGATAATTACAAACAGGATGAGAGATGCTAGAACATTCACAGATATGTGACCAAACCAGAATAAAGTTGAAATGACTCATTGAGTGAGCCATCAAAAATACAAATGTTATTTATAATGAGCAAAAAAGTACAAGCGCATTAATATATGGAGCTATATGTAAATTGAATACACTGTTTGTGCTTCATTTAAACAGTTGTTGTCCAACCACATGTTAGCAAACATACTGTAGAGTAGCTGCATTTCTCTACACAGTAAAACACCATATACGGAGTTTTATAGCCAGGACATTCCTTCTTTTAAGAAATGTGCCAGACTTGGTCCCTGCTAAAAGTTTTGCTACCTTTCTGATAAGTTTATGTTGATTTTTCAGCCCCATGATGGTTTCCTTCTCTTGTCTTTACGTCTGCCTAAAAATTAAGATAAAACTGAAGTTATTCTGTTCTGGCTGGTGTTGCACTGTCTTTGTTTTGTTTTTGGGGTTTTTTGCAATTGTTGCACTTTATGTAGTCCTGTGTTGATTGTTATATGTCATATGTAGCACTATGGTCTTGGAGGGACGTTGTGTAATTTCACTGTGTACTGTGCCACGGCTCATGGTTGGAATGACACTAAAGCCACTTGACTTGACTTAACTTGTTATTATACTTGGCCCCAAAAAATCATAGAAACACATTTACTCTGGATGGCCTCCAGTACTACTGTGATTTTTGACCAGAATATGTCCTTCATATTAAATAAATATGTAGAACTACAGTCCTGCATTTTTGGATTATATTATAATCCTACAAACTTATGTTTGTCCCTAAAATTTGCAACATCCTGTCTCAGAGTGATGGCGAAAACCACAAAATTTGATAAATTTCTACATGTGAGTTTTTGTTTTCAAATTCACCATGAAAAAGAAGTGATTTGATAATTGAGTTTTTGTGCTGAGGTTTATGCAAGAGGAGGTTAGAAACTCTGAAGTTGTTGAGTCAGCAAATTATTGGCAAACTTTATGCACTGTGTGCAAGCAAGTGAGCAGGAAGAGCAGAAATTAAATTGTTGAGGTTACTGATTTTATACACCTGTGTAATTTTATAGACTCTAATTTTATATATTTAAGAATTCAAAAACTACATTCTGTGCTTGTACTTCAGGGAGACTCTGGTGCCCCATTAGTCTGGGAAGCTGCAAAGGCGTATTGGTGGTGTCTGCCAGTAGGCCAAACCCAAATTATCTAACAGTCCACACTTATACTAAGATAGTTATATAGGGACTGAATTGATTGTATACTGAAACATAAGTGAAACACTTAATCACTATCAAGAGATCTAATGACTGAGATATCAATATTCAGGCTGATTACAATGATGACGATGGTATACGTGTTTGTAACACATAATTAGACAATAAACTGTTGCACTTTGTTCTTGATGTCTATTTTTCATCATCGTAATACAAACTAAACACGTCCTTTGTGATTGTACAACTGGCTTATCGTATTATACCGCGAAGGGCTGTCTGAGTAAAACACTGTATACTTAAGAATTTATCCTGCTACTTCTACATTGCTGTATATCATGCTATATGTATTACAAAAAAGCAAAGTGACAGATGACTTGACCTGTAACTGGTGCTACATGTCAGCTGGCTTCCTGTTTCACGCGCCCCCAACATTCTGAAAATAGTTTGTTTCCAAGTAATCCGCCAGGCTTTCTCACTAAATATTGTGAAGATGCCTTCTTGAAGCCATGTGCACAAATTCTTGCAACTCTTGCAACAGTCATAGCTTTCCATCTAATACATCATGCTAACAAACAATAACTTTTCACACTGTTGTCACTCTTAAAGTATATTAAGTTAATTAGCTTCTTAATTTTCTTTTAAATTTTTCTTTCATCATGAACCCCAAAAAACATTTTACCCCATGGTTTTAACATTCTTGCTATAAATTGAAAATGTTATAAAATGTCTTCTTTCTTTATTATTGTTCATAGAGTTTGTACTGTGAGTTGACTCTATCAAGTCATATACTTGAATCTTGGACCAATTTATAGCAAAGCCTGTCTCACAATATCGCAACAAAAAGCCATGTTATATTCACCTTTTTGTTTTGTTTGATTTGATTTATTTTAAGCTTTATTGAAAGATTTTGAATCTATAACAATGCATAATGTGACCCTTGTTAGAACTATATTACTATTAAGCCTGCTTAAAGACTCCAACTAAGACTAATGAGCTACATTTAATAAGCTACACTTTTTTTCAGCTTCTGGAGGTGTCAGAGATGATCTCTTTATAAATGTGGTTTGACACCCCATCATTTGCATTTACAAAAACACAAACACTTCCTCCTTTATTATAAGGAAGCATTTAAAGACTGAAGTGTCAGTGAAGTGTCCCATTGCTCTTCAGTAACTCACCTTGACTTTGATCTCACCATGTTTACCCACTGTAACCTGGCAGCACTGATACTCGTGCTGACTCTTCATGATCAAGGTAAGGCTCTTTTCATAGCACAAACGTTTATACAAAGTCAAAACGGAGTCCATGAAGTTAAGATTTTGATGCATAGAATATGAAAACCTTTTTCTCTCCAGTTCATACAGGAGAAATCGTGGGTGGCCATAAGGTTGCACCACATAGCAGGCCGTACATGGTGATTTTGGAGCTGAACAAGTCAAATGGTATTACAACATACTGTGATGGCTTCCTTGTAAATGAGCATTTTGTGATGACTGCTGCCCACTGCGAAGCCAGGTGAGTTTAACCCACTCATGTTTATCTAAAATGAATTATGTGGCCACAATAATGCTAAAGTTACACAACTTCAAGCCACAACCTTTGACTGCGATGTAGGTTTCATGAAGGATTTATCTTTTCTTTTGTTAATACTAAAAATTATTATCTTTATTGTTTCAAGATATTTTTCCCCTATTTTTCAGATTGTACAAAGTCTTTCTGGGACTTCATGATTACAAAAATCGCAGAAAAGTACAGACTGTGACTGTGGATGAGACAAATGCTTTTCCACACGAAGGCTACAACAAAATTTCTTTAAAAAATGACATAATGCTTCTTAAGGTAAATAAAGACCAAAATAATTGTATTTGACAAAAAGATTATTATTAATTTGAGCTATAATCAACTTTCATTTATTATATTAGGAAAAGCTCAGTCATCAACAAACAGCTGTTAATCTATATACTGTATATATTGATACTAAAATTCTCTTATTTCTCGTTTTCTTGAAGTTGCATCCCAAGGCTAAGTTCAACGAGAATGTGACATCTATTACTCTCGCAGGCCGTGATGATGTCCCAAAGTCATGTGCAGTCCTTGGCTGGGGAAAAACAGAGAATGGTAAAGCATCTGATGTACTCCGGGAAGTCAATGTGAACCTGACTGACAATGAGTTGTGTGCTAAGGAAAAAAAGTACTGCTCTAAAGGTACAACTGGACCAAGCAACGTAAGTAGATTTTGCATCTTATAACAAGAAAGAAAAAAAGAGCATTGATCAGCATTGATAATTAGCTCATTGTTCACTTATGATCACAATAACTACATACTGTGCTTGTACTTCCAGGGAGACTCTGGTGGCCCGTTAGTCTGTGAATGTGGAACGGCGTATGGGGTGGTGTCTGCCAGCCAGCAAAACACCTACAGTTATACTATGATACCTGAATACAGAGACTGGATTGACTGCATACTAAAACATAAGTGAAAGTCATAATACATTTAAACCTCAGATCGCTAAGACATCTGATGACTGAGATATCAATATTTAGACTGATTCCACTGAACTGAGACTGCCTAACAGACAAGATATCATTGTGACCTAATATACTGATACTGCATTTCATGTTCTTAAAAACAGTAATAATCAATTATTGCTTTGCCTTTCTGTTAGAGTAGATTCAAAGAGAACCCATGCCGTTATGCTTGTTTGTAACATTTAATGAGACAATAAACTGTTTTTCTTTGATGTCTTATTTTCTTAATAGCAATGCAAACAAAACATATTTTACATGATTATGCAGCATATTTTAAGTCGATGTAAACATATATATTTCCTAGATATATGAAGAAAAATCAGGAAATATATTGTAAAGGCACTTGATGTTAAACATGTAAGCTAAAGCATGCATTACAAGTGAAACAAACAGGAACAGAATCACAAAAGCATATTGTTAAATGGAGACATCAGGTTGGGATCTGAAAAAAATTACTCAGGTTACATAGTTCATGATATATATCATTAAATGACCTGATATGAGGTACAGTACACTGGCTGTTCAAATAAACACATCCAACACTTTGTATATCCGTGATGTCTCATATGACCTAAGTAACACTGAGAATGTATTTGGTGATCATTTCAGCTTGCCTTTAGAGCCACCATCAGGTTTTTCTCTTTTAACACACTTTATGAACATGTACACTCACTGAGCACAATTGTTCAACTATTCATTTATGCAAACATCTAATCAGCCATCAGCAACTCAATGCATTAGGAATCTAGACATAGTCAAGATGATCTGCTGAAGTTCAAATCGAAGTTCACATGGGCATGAGGTCAAAATATTTATGGCCCTAACTACTAGTATACATTATGACTAAATAAATCGTTGTGTATCTCACTCCATCTAGTTTTGCACACGCTCCTCAGTAAAATAACAAATGACAAAGTTCACAGGTTACAGCTAAAAGTCATTAATTTATAATTGATTGCTTTCTATATATTAGTGCTATTTCTTAAATGTGTAAACTTTGCAATAAATTGTATTATTTAATTAGTTTAGTCTCTTACTGTTACTGTCTTGGAGCAACTGTAATCCACATAGTTTCCTTAGGGATTATAAAAGTATTCTGATTCTGATCCTCCAGTTTCTTCCTGCCATAAAGTGTAATGCAGATTAGACTAGAGCAGTAGATCACTGCATATGCACATAAATGATCTTAAATTAATTATACCATAGACATGGGGACATGTTTAAAAAAATGCTTTAATATAAATAAAATAGCTGTCTGTGAAAATATATATATCAAAGAAAATGTACATAAAATGCGTACTATATACGTATTTTTTATTTTAGTACCGGCTCACAGGAAAGATGCATATTAATAAAAAAAACATTAATATCTATCCATCCATGGATTAATATGTGATAAATGCCAGAGAAAGTTATGTAAAGTCTTTGTAGTCATGCATTTTTTTTATTTATTTGTAAACGCTTCATGCTCGTGCATTACCTTTTTCACCCACTAGAGGGTGCTGAAGCACCAGCTACAGAAGAGGACGCACCCACTGAGGTCAGAGCAACGAAAAGCAGCTTTCTTACCTCAGAGATCAGAGTAGACAGAAAGAACAATGGACAGCTGAGGGTTTGTTGAATTGGAGCATGGAGCTGGTGAATAGGTTATGAGTTTACACGCGGTCTGGTCTATTCCTGTAAAACAAACAAACAAACAAACAAACAAACAAACAAACAAACAAACAAACAAACAAAATCCCAGCAGTTTCCAATGTCATTAGAGACTTTGAATAGCAATACTATTAAATAATTGCTACATACTATTATTATCATTATTATTACTCTTTATAGTTATTATTACAAGAACCCTGGCTGTAGTGAAGCAGATTTAATCCTGCTCATAAGCACAATAGCCAAATGTAACCACAAGATGGCAGCAGTTTAACCCCCTTAGACCCGAACTCTTTCATGGCATGCATTTTTTTTGCAAGTTCTCTTAGCTATTTGGGCTGATTGAGACCTGATGAATGTAAAAAGAATTAGATCGGTTTTTGTTTTTTTTGTTTTGTTGTTGTGTCTGAGAAAGATGAGATCCACATATGAGGACATTTGCCTTAAATTTCGATAGAACAGTGGTAGTAAAATGTCCTCGTAAGTAGATACCAGCAAAACTTTGTATTTTGGTCTAGACAACCCAAAATGTGATGTCCACATATGTGGACGCCAGTTCCCATGAGGTTAAAGAATGGACACAAAGAGGCCAGAAACTTTGACAGGACGCTCTTTGAGATGAAAGGAGAGGGATGTTTTCGCTTACATTTGAACTGATGTCTGATGTTTAATTAATTGATTTTCTGTTTTGTTCTGATGGAATGCCACTGGAGGAAATATATTTGTTCAAATGAGGTATTTACTATAGAAATCACTGTGCAGTATATAGCAGTGATATTAAAATGTAGGGCTGCGGAATTATCTAAATAAAACTATAACTTATGTCGTCGTCTGAAAACATTCTGTTCATGTAAAACAAAAACATAATTTTACACTTTGCATAAAGAATAATAGGCCAGAACAAATGTATTTGCTACTGTGCAATGACGGTTATTCAAATTTAAAGAACAAAACAAAAAATATTTTAAAAACCCAATAACAACAAAAAAAAAAACCAAAACGAAATATTTGTGACTAAAGTACAAATCTGAGTGCCTTTTCTACCATTTTCCATCTAAGTACCCTTGAAAGATAACCAGTAACATACCTACCTGGACTGCCTGGAATGTACCTGTTATAGCGGATAAAAATATGTCTAGAAACATTAAAAAAAAAAGTCCAAAATTATTTGAGTTGCTTAAATGGTTTGGAGAAACCTTTCAGAAATCCTTCATACCTGCACTGATTTCACAGAACATAAGCTACAACAATGTAAACAGTCTATGAGTGTGCTTTTGCCAGTGTTTTCAATTCACGTCTGCCCTGTATATTTCTTTCTTTCTCTTTTTTTCCTTATGCCTTCCTCATGTCCATCTTAACGTTCAAATCTTTTCTGAAAACAGGAACCTGGACACTGCATGTCTGATACCTGATGCATGAATTCTAAAGAGCTGTCAATTTATTTCTGCTTGCTTTGACTCTTTGCTTCTTGCAGTACTGTAGTTTCCTATTCACCTAATTTTCTGGGGATTCTTTCTCATACTGGCTGGTAGTGAAACCGCTGCAAAGTAGGTTCTAACCACCATCAAAATTCTGAACGTTTGTGCACGACTGCTTGTTTATCTTTTATCATCCCCAGCTCATTTCATTGCTTAGGAGCTCTATGACAAACGTTTCACAGCATATCTCTCTTCATCACAGTGATGCGTGCAGAAAGGCTTCTTTTCTGCATAGTTATTTTTCACTGATTGGAGTACAGTGGCGATAAAATGATAAGAAGCCACAAAAAGATAATGCACCAGAAAAGTGATCACTTTAGCATAGTCAGCATTTGGGCACATTTTCATTTTGTAGGTTGCATTTTCATTTTGTAGGTTGCCACAGCATACCTACAAAATGAAAAATGACTTGGTTCACTGAGGATAAATCATCTTGGGCACAAATCATTTGCATAATTTTCTCTTTATGACTATGCAGCAAGTCAAAAAAACGCTACATCATATAGGTCTCCCTGTTTTGTTGTCAATGCTTAGCAGAAGAGCCAATGACCGAAATGTGCATGCCCTTTCGCTTTGAGCACTATGTGCTGCAAAAGGATTTTCCTGCATCAACATAAGCCTTCTGAAAGTAGTTGATTCTTACTACATTTAATGCAGTATCCACTGTTACATTTTAAACCGTCTGAGAAAAGGTGCAACTGTTCAAGCGCTTTTACATCAAAGAAAAAAAAAAAGAGTAAAACACGTAATAGCACCTCAAAGAAATTTGCGTGTAAAATACTGAGATTTTACACAATCATGCAGAGGAAATGGTTTATGATAGTAATCTCTGCTTTTTGCAAATTGCAGGCACATTGATAGATGCAGGAACATTTCAACCAGTTACACAAGACTGAGATAAGAACTGAAGTTCAAATGAATCATAGAACAAACTGCATATATATACATACACATACATAGGTACACGTATAGATAATGGGCAACAATAGAGGAAACTTTAATATTTAAAACAAATTAAAATCATACGCAAGCCAAAGAAGAGAATGGGATGGATGAACGCATTACTTCACATACATAAACAGATAAATGAGTAGAAAGACTGAAGGTTTAAAATAGACCTTCAGAGTGGCAAGTGTAGAGTGATATTAAAAAAAATATGCTATGTTTCACAAATTTCTATTTTGGTTGATTACTTTTCTAAAACCTGAAACAAAACAAAAAAATAGTAACTGAAATTGAGAAGTAACTGATCATTTGAGTCAGGTACATATTCTCCCCAATAAATGTGTAATCATATCATAACTTACTAAGCTAAATAGTACTGAATACAGGCCTTTATTATTCTTAAATGGATAGCTCATGTAAAAGACAGAATATGTAGAATTTTGGGTGTTATGTCTGTTACTTTGCCTTGTTGTTTAGATTAGAAATATACAAAAATGTGTAGTCTATCTGAATATTGAGTTTTTATGGATACACTCTTATAATCCTATTAGATGACTGTTCACAGCAAGTCAAAACCATATTTCAGGTCACCAGGAAATGGGCTTACAAGTACTGTTTGAAAATACTTTAGGCAGTATAAGCAGTACCACATCACTTAAATCGTAATATAATGTTACCGCTTTAGCAGGTCAGTGTGCTGCGTGGGTGTGTCATATCTCATCCATCTCTCCTGATGAGACAGTGCACAGGTGGCTTCATTCAGCAGTCAGCCACCCAGCAGTATATAAGCTAGTGAAGCGCTGCTCAGTTGGTGTGTGGACCACTCTTGGGTGGAGAGTGTTAGTGTTGTGGTCTACTTGCGTTAACTATGATGTGTTTTCTTTCAGACATCCCACAAGTTTTGGTCTTCAGCACTTCTGTATTTAGTAAAACTCACACTGATTCTTTCTTATAGTAACTGCTGGTTTTAATAGTGTGAAGTGACTATTCGTCTTCATCATTTTGAAAGTACATGGTAATCTATTATTGTATATGTTGGTAGCCTTCAGCGAATCCAAAATGCTGCAGCAAAAGTACTGACAGGGACTAGAAAGAGAGCAGATTTATCCTGTTCTGTCTTCCCTTCATTGGCTTCC